GGCCGAGGTGAGGCACCGGGGTGGCGGGTGGCCGTGGCTTGGGCCTCAGCTGGGGCCTCCTCCGGTGGCCAAAGTCGGCGGACAGCCTGGCTGCCTTGTGTTCCTTGGGAGCAGGGACTTCCCCTGGAAAATCGGTTTCTGTCACAACGGAGTGGGACCTTTCTGTCCAGAGGAAAGGGATGAAAACAGGACAGTCCTAGAGCTTGCTCTTCCTCTGGTGCCAGAGCAAACCCTGTTTCTCTTCTCTTTTCCAATACAAATTACAGCAACTTATAACCACCAGAAGATTCCAGGAGAAAAGTTCTTGCTAGAAGACGCTTCGCTCTGTAGCATGTGTTTATTTCACAGGAGGAAAGATGAACTTACAGATCTGAGAGAGATCTTTGTCTTCTTGCCTAGTTGGTTTTAAAGTCACAAAGGCCATTGGCTATCAGATTATATTGTATATAAAACCAGTGATTTTTTTCGTATTAAATCGCAGTTAAACATTTAGACCATTAATCCTACTTTCTTTCGTAAAATTATGTGCATTGTTTCGATGGGGTAATGGTGTCAATGGGAGAACTGATGCTAACGTTCAACTTTTTAGATAGGTTTTTTTTCTACAACCAGGGTAACACAGTTCCTAGTGGCTGCTTCGACTGAGTTTTACCGTTCAAGATCTTGTATTTAGATGATCTAGAAAGAGGGAAATGGTTCTACTTTTGAAGGTGCTGGCTAGTTTGTGCTTGAAGGGGCAAGTATAAAATAGTGGTTGCCTTAAGAAAAAACCTTACCCAGCACTCCTGCTAAAAGCAACTTTTTTTGTCTCTGGAGTTGTGTGACTGGGAACTGATCTAACTGCAAGCTAACGATCAAAAAACTTTTTCTGTTTTTCTTCATATAAATATAATAGTAACCATACAGGGTGTCGCACCAAAGAATCTCTTTTTGTCTAGCTGTAGAAGCTGCCATGAAGCGGATGTATAAGAAAAAGGCAAGTGTACATGATGCTGCTAGGGAATATTCTCCCAGCTTCTTTTTACTTCAGCTCAAGGGACTTGCTGAGATAGATGTGGGTTTTTTTGATATATCGTAACTCTAAGTGATGTCTGTTCCTTGTACTTTTTTAGATTTTTTTTGTTGCACTCTTGTAAACTCTCAGCACCCATTTCATTCTGATAGTTTCTTCAGGTCTGCTACCTTGTTTGAATGATCTCCTTGTTGTTGAACCTGCCTGCTGTTAACTTAATTTGCCAGCTAGTGTTTACATTAGAAGATACAGTGAACAACTGATTCCTGTTTAGTTTGTGACACTTACTTGGTAGGCTAGCCTCTAAGTTGTTTCCTTCCCACAGTGAAAAGGTGTAGGATGCTGGTTTCCAAGTAAAAAGTTACATACTCTTTCTCCTTGTTGCCATTTTGTGAACCTTCTCTTAGTTCTAGTAGCTACTTCTCTTTTAGATGAAAGAACACAGTATTCCAGATGTGGGTGAATTTTAGATTTATATACCGGCATGATTTTTCTTTATTTCCTAATAATTCATCATGCTCAGTTCATGATGTGTCTACACAAATATTTGTGCAAGTTCAGAAAAGGAGACAGTATGGGAAAAGGGAAAAATTGCTGCATTTCATGTAGGGATGGGTTAAGACTTTTTGAACTGTAACATGAAATAGTGGTTATTGGATGTTGGAAGAGAGCAGGCTTGCTGCTCCCATTTTCTGCAAGTGCAGGTTGCTTTGAATGTTAAGAAATTAAGGCATGAACTTGTGGAAGAAAGCAGGGTATTTAGTGCTGAACTTTGTGTGCTGTTTTGCGGTAGTGTCTGTCAAAGCCCCACAAGTTGTCACTGGAGTCAGAGTTAGATTCCTAATAGAAGTTTCATTTTTCATTTCTGTGGACAGGATTGAAGTGAAAGATACTTGGGATACTTTGTTGTTGTTCTTGCTTGAACCCTTTCAGGTAAATGGAAGCATCAGTAAGTTGTGAACTTAATACTCATAAAAATTGAACACTGGTTGAAATTTTCCAAACCATTAATATTTTCTCTACAGTAGATTGTAGAGCCATGTTGTTTAGAAGACAGTCTATGTGACTGGTGATTGTACAAGGAACAGAATAAACTTGCAAAGAAAAAAACACGTAGACTTTACTGTCTCTTTCCTGTGGCTCTGACAAGTTCATAACAGTATTCTGAAGTATGTTTTGGTTTGCTATTAAAAGTACTGTTGTCATTCCTACTCAGTTGCAAATGTTAAATATCATTCACTTCCACAAGCTGGAGATTGAGCTGTTGTAAGAAATGCAGTCAATTAAATTCAAGCCATTAACTAGCCATAGCAACTGGGTTAGTTTTGCAGTTTATTAGACTAACTCAGCTGCATTGCTTCACTGTGGCTGATGAAAGAGTGAAAATAATGTGGAAAGAAGAGGCCAATTCTTGAATAGGTATGTTTCCATTTTTGTGCTGTTATTTTCCTCTGCGGATTAATGAGGCAAATTAATCTTTACTCTTGGGACTGTCTGCGGTGAAAAGTAAATATATCATTTTATCAGGGTTTATAGTATCACTTGTCAATTATTTTTTATTTTCTTTCACATGCAGGATAGTGTTGAAGGTTCAGTTTCTGTTACAAAGCAGAGAACAGGATCCATTGGAGATCGCCCAGCAAGACCTACTCTTTTAGAACAAGTACTGAATAAAAAGAGGCTGGTAAGTTTTGTTTTCTTAGAGGTTTTGAACTCAAAGGCAGGGTAGCAGTGTTCAACTGTCACCCTTGTGAAAGATGAAAACCAGTTTAATGGTCATACACTACATGTTCATATATTCAAATTTGAAATAGGCTGCAAGGCAGATGTGTGTTTCAGCCCCTGTCTGAAGAATACTGAGATGACTAAATTTAATGATCACTGCACATGAACTGAAGTTGAGGGTTTTGGTAGTACTAAATAGAAGGGATTATTTCTTTGGGGCAAATAGTGCTTATGCTATAACTGGGATGGTTTTTGACTTGTTAAACCAATTTTGCTGTAAAGCTTCATATAGAACAATGTGTGGACTTTATATCTGATGTAAGCTTTAATTACTGTAGTCTGTTTTAAAAGTTGTAGACCTATCATATACTTCATACTGCATATATATTTGTTGATAAAGTGAACTGTGTAAGCAAACAGTATGACTTCTAATATTTGTAGACTGCATGAATGGCATGTGTTTTAAGTTTTTAAACACTTCTGTTGCTTCTTTAAAGAATGAAGCCCAATGGAAGTAAGTAATTCAGGACTTACTGTTCCTTCAGCTTCTTCATTACAGCTTTCTGTGTTACTGGTTTTTACAGTCTCTATTATCCAAAAGCTAGTGGGACTGTTTGCCTGTTCTCTCTGTTAGCTATGCAAAGCAATTTAAAAGTCCTAAAGTGCTGTAGTGCTGGTTCAGAAATTTGAAAAGACTATTTTTCACATTATCTGTTCTTCATGCCCTGCTCACTGAATTGTTTTCCCCTTTCCTGGCTGTTCCTATTTATGTGGCTGTTAATTAAATTAAAGGTATATTAATGAAAAATTTTTTTCTAGAAATACAACAACCAGAAGCTTTTTAAATAGATGTTGAGAGCTTTTGCAGTTATGTCAAGGCTCTTCAAGATTTGAGGTTTCCTTGCACTATTCTGGTCAAGTGACATTCAGATTTTCCTTGATCTGGTTCTTGCTTTTCTCCCACTCTGTCTGATCTGACTCGGTTTCTCTCATTCAGCATTATTTCTTTAAGAATTTCTTCTTTGTTTTGTGCATATCTGCACAACACAAGGCCTGAGGGTTATGTGGTGACCCAGAGAGAGCTCTTGTGGCCTGTTGCATCCAAGGCTGTTCCATACCTCATGTTTCTGCACATGAAAGTGACTGCACATCACTCGTAGCTGCCTGCAGGTTTATCACGTAGAAGTGCCAGGTCATTTGTGCTTGCATATAAGTTCCTTGCATGTGGTTAATCTCTGTGAGGAGAGGCTTTTGTGGTGGCCCATGTGCGCCTGAATGTGCAGCACTGGATAAAGATAAGAGAAAGCAGAGGCAAGGGGCCGAGAAGCAGCAAGTTGTGGATGGAGAGCCTGAAGAACCTTAATGTCATAAAACAGCAGCAGATAAAACCTACTTGCTGCAGAACTACCCTATGCAGTGAAGTGACTTGATAAAGCTAATGTGCCCTAAGGAAAAGGTGGCTGTGCATCTGTTCAGTGAGCCTGTTTGTTGTTAGTAACTGCTTTCAGTGGCCGATTCACTAACCTTAGCTGTTCAGTGCTGCTGTAGGTGTGAGGTAGATGCAGAATGGTTGTTTTCAATTACAATCTCTGCAGAATTGCCCCATATAGGGTAAAGTTCTAGACCTGCCCTGGAAGTTGTTAGACCTTTTGAATGTAAACCTGTATTATAGAGTTGCAGTACCTCTTTGCTTATATCAGTGAAATGACTGTGCATAATGAACAAGCAGTCTTGGGAATTAATTCACCTGAAAAATAGCCTTTTTCCTGCATTAATTTTTGGAAGGATCCATTCCCAGCCTTATTTGCCATTTGACCTTACAAACACTTGTGCTGCCACCATGCAGAAATGAGAGCTAACAACTGGAGCTGGATCACAGACTGCAGCTGTTCAGGCCAGGAGCCAGATGCACGTAGTTTTAGATACTTTTGTCTTTTGACTTTTTTTTTTTTTTTTTTTTTTTTAAATGTTGGAGAATTATTGAACACTCAGTGAATATTGAATCGTAGATTATCTTGGGTTGGAAGGACCCCATAAGGATCATTGAGTCAAACTCTCTGCTCACAGAACTACCTAAAATTAACAGTGTGACTAACAGCATTGTCCAGATGCTGGAACTGTAACAGGCACGTGAGCTTTTCTGTAGAATTGCAGTATTTCATTTATTACAGTATTTTTGAGGTCTCTGCACTAGGAAATGTAGAAATTGGCTCAAAACTGAAGCACAATTGAAAAGTGTTTCTAATATGTCAGGAGATTACTTCCATTTGCTATCTTTGTTTTTTGCAATACTGTGTATTCTTTACATTGTGAATCTGCCTTCAGGATGTGTATTAATGCTGCTTCTGGTTACCTGCTGATGTCCTGAAACAGTTTCTAGGTGGTTTTTGTGAGCATGTTTTGTAATTCTTCAGCATTTAATTGAACTCTCATATGGGTGTACAGGTTTGGGCTGGGATAGTTAATTTTCTTCACAGTAGTTTGTATGGGACTATGTTTTGGGTTTGTGATGGAGAGTTAATAACACAGTGATGTTTTAGTTATTGTTGAACAGTGCTTCATCCCACTGGTGAGGGATTGAGCAAGAGGCTGTGTGATGCTTAGTTGCCTACCGGGGTTAAACTGCAACAATGGGTAATGTGCAAATTGACTTAATGGAAAAAAATATTGTAATATAAATATAATCACTATAGTGGCAATTTAATATATGTGAGTTCTTTAAAGTCGGCTTTTTCTTTTTTTTTGCAGTCCCTACTCAGAAGTCCAGAAGTAGTGCAGTTCCTACAGAAACAACAGCAACTGTTAAGTCAGCAGGCTTTGGAACAAAGGCAGCAACAGTTTCAAGGAGCACCTGGGTAACCAGAACAGATCAGTGACCTGCATATAAGTCTGGTGCTGAAGGAGGAATAGGATGTGTATTTTATATAAATACAAAGAGTCTCGATGTTTAAAGGAAAACTAAAGTTGCTGCTGTTACGTATTTTACTTGTTTGCACTTTTGAGGTTTTGAGCTGCTTGGGTGTCTGCAAACTTGTGAGCAAATATGGAGGAGTCTGTTTTTTGATTCTTTTTAACACTTCATTTATACGTTTAATTTTTTTAATAGATATTTGTTTATATTAGTAACGTTCAGCTGTACACCCTTTTCCTACCAAAGTCTTCCACTAAATGTTTTTCTATATAAGGATTTACTGTTAAACAAGTCACTCTTTGATGACAATCATTGAAGTCAGTTACTTTCTATGGAAGTTTTGAAATAAAGTCCTGAATTTGAGCCAGTCCAGTGGCATGACCTAACAGGAATTTCTCAGGGATATGAGAAACTTATGTCCAGTAGAATCTTGCACTAAAGGCAAAGATAATGTGCCATCAAGAAGTTGATCCAGTGGCCCAGAAAAGTGCAAATCAGGTGATCCTCCTGCTATATATTCATTATCTGCAAGTTCAGTAGGTTTGAAATGCTTCATTATGTGTGCAAAGCATTTAAAAGTTTCAGAAGAGAGAAATGGCAAAAAGCTTTAGAGAAGGATTGGGTGAAATGTATGCAACTGAGAGTTGTACCTTGTTTTGTGGAGTTATTTGTAAGGACCAACCTCTTATACATTAAATATAACTTAGTTACAGATGACAGTATCACTCATTTTTAAGTGACCACATTAAAATTTAAAGCTTTTAACTTGTATTAGCAAATGCATCCAAAACCTAAAATGTAATTGTGCATTTTTTCCTTTATGTAGTCTTTTTCTTCTAAAAAAAGTATAATTAAAATTCTTCTATTAAGAGAACTGATATCAACTCTAGTGCTAGACTTCTCAGGTTTTCAGCCAATTCAGATGAATTTGCAGTTGATTGGGTTAAGAATCCAAACACTGTGTTATGTAAGTGTTGAATCCCATGTTTTGTTTTTAAAACAAAGTTTTGTATTAAAACGCATTTCTGAACAGAGATTATCTGAATGATGTAGGTGCTCATTAAAGTACTACTTAATACTGCGACAGTTCGATCTGCTAAATAATCTCTCTTCAGGAGTATTTGTTAGTCTTGCGAATTTTTACAAGCTGTGCTTTGTGTATGTATAGAACTTGGTCAGTAGGGATTGATTGTATTTAGCATTGTACAAGTTGTTCTTTAAAAAAGAAAATGAAAAACTTTGTATCAGCAGTTCTGGACCAATAAGAGTTTGAGTAAAATCTTTGTTTCTCTTTTAAAAAAACAAACCCAAAGCCTGTCCTCCTTTGTTCTGTTAAATTTGTATGTTGGGGTTTTTTCTATACTAAGATGGCTAGCTCTGGCTAGGTGGCATTTAAAACTCTTATGTTCCAAGGCTCTTGTCATAGGTGGTTATTTTAGCTTTAAGTAAAATCAGGTTACTGTTTTCAGTGTGTCAGAATATTTGTGAAAACATAATGGGCTGAAATTGTAAAACAGGGTATTTGATTTTGGTTTAAATGGTCATCTTACAAAAAAGCACTGAGGTGAGCAGATCTGATTAAGCTTTTCTAAAAAACAGACCAACCCTCATGGTAGAAAAGGGACACAGGGTATGTGTGATAACAGTGCTGAACGAGTTGGTTACCTCAAAACAAATGAAACTTGCTGAAGTTGTGCATAGAGATGTTCAGCACGGTGCAGCTCACCTATCCTGTATTTCTGGTGGTCTGTGATGGCAGTGCCTTACAGGCTGGTGCAGATGGCAGGAGATGTGCTGGCAACAGGGCTGCCCCGTTCAGGCAGGGTGGGTGTTGGGTGGGATTCCCAAACCATGTGTGAACACAGCAGTGTCTGTGTTCCTCCAAGACCATTATGTCATCTTCTCTCTTGCTTCTGTTGTTGCAGAACAAAATCTGAACTTTAGGAACGTTTAAAACCTGACTCAGTAACAGTAACAGTACATTCTTACTATATCTCTTTTTCCTTGAGCAGTTTAAGACCCTCATAGCAGCAAGTCTGTCTGCTCGCTAATGTGTTGGTCTGGTCCACAGCTAGGGCTTCTGTCATAGGGCAGCATCACTGCTCATTAACTGCCTGTCGGATCAGGGCTGCCTCCTTCAAAAGCTGAACTGTCCTCTTCATCTTCAAATCTACCACAGGACAGTGAGGGATGCATGTACTTTGTAACATGCAGATTTTATGCTGTATTCATTTGCAACCCATTTTATAGTGTCCAACATCCCATTCTGCTGGGAGGGTTGCTTCATCCCATTACTCTGAACGCACCAATTCCTCTTGCCTAAGTGACATATGAATAAAGGCTTTCTAAATGCTGTGGTTACCAAAGCCACTGGTGATCAGACTGGGACCTACCGCTTTCCAGGGCCAGTCTCTTTCAAGGAGAAAAAGAGGAGACAACAAGGGAAAGAGCTCTTTAATCAGAAATATCTTTATTAACAGTAAAACACAAGACGTGAATAATCCCTTTTACAACAGAATAATTCCAGCCAAAGAAAATGGAGTGTGTTAAAAAGTGTATTGTTCAAACATCAGGCTAAATATGTTGACTTCAGAATGCCTCAAATGCAGCAGGAGGAATGCTTGTGAAAATGTCCACTTGATTAGCAATTGTTTTATCTTTCTTGACATGACAGGGCATGGGGCAGAGTACTCTGGGGCTTATTGGAGGACTCTGAGCTGCCCTCATCTCTCAGTCTCCTGAAACTAAGTATGTTTGAGATTTTTCATTCTCAAGAGTCCAAGTAGCGTTCTTTATACAGCAATCTACACTGTTTTAAAGATGATCACTAGCTGTGAATAATACTTCATTCTGGATGGTGCAAATGTTTTGCTTTGATTCCGATGGAAAAGCAAGGGCGGAATTGTTCATAGACACTGTTAAATCTATGTATGATTCATGGTGCTTTTTGGCACAAGACTGGTAGCTTGTACTTGACACAAAAAAACCCGCACCTTGCTTGAATCTGCCCTTTTCACCCCTGGACTGCATAGAACTTTACAACCTTATGGCTTCATTGACCCCCACAATAAGGGCTTGTTCCTTCACCTTGTCACACTTCTCAGCCCCATTTACATCACAGAGGTGATACTGAAATGAGGGATTAAATTGCTAACACTGATTTATCTGCAGAAAGTATGCTGTGGTACATTTAACTTAGTATTATAAATAATTCAGAACTCCAATTGCTTGAGTAAGTGAAGAAAATTTATATGAATGTGCATTATCTCTGCTCATCATTTCATTTGTTCTCTTGCTCTTGTTTGCAAAGCTTCTCATGGACATAATTGAATTAATAGGATTTAACACACACTTTAGCATCAAAAAATCACTTTGAAACATGATGTGCTTGCTACCGTGAAAGTGCAAGGGGTCAGACTTTACCAAGTTTTTTGTAGCTTTTCTTTGCTGATGAGGTCTGTATTTAAAATTATTAACTGGTTGATCTATTCCTATGCTATTCATATGCAATATTATTTGAGTACTAACACAGAATATAAAATAGCAGCATCCATGGAGAATAAAACCACTATGACTGAAGATTTAAAAACTGTTCACAATTGGCTGCAAATGTTCACATTGGCTATAATGGAAGAGTAGCCGACTCTGGAGGACATAGTGGTTACAGACATGGCCTGCACATTAGATTCATTATCTGTACAGGCACCAGGTTTGCAAGCATGGCCCAATTGCAAGTGGAGGCATCTTCCTGATGGGCCTCATATGCCTCACCTCCCTGGCAGGAAAGTGTGGCATCAATATGGCAATATAATGTAAGGCACACCTGGACAAGCTATTGGGAAGCCCTGGGGTGAACAGGTAACAGGATTCTGGCTGCTCCTGGCCACTCCGGAGCTTCCTATGAGTAGATGATCGGTACAAACCAAAGGCTGTGTTTTGTGCTGGTGCACAACATGCAAAAGTGTCCGTCTGCAGTAGAGACAGAAAGGGATTTCTCTCTGCTGAGCACAGACTAAATGCCCTCCCAGGCTTTTTGTACTCCCAGAGCTGCCATTAGGAAGAAGCCCTGTTTCAGTGGCTGCGATGAAGCCTCCAGGTTGAGAAGCTTTTTATTCACAGATCTAAAGTCTCACATAATCTCTCCCGGCTGCAAGATGGGACCAACTCTATCAGGCTCTTTTTTGATGGTGACCCGACCTCTTACTTGCTCTCAGGGAAGCACACTTGTCTATTCTTAGTTCCTGCTATAAATGTGATTTCATAGGAGTCCCTGTGAAGGCTCCTGCTGATTCCATCTTCCTTTGGGCACTACAATTTCCTACCTAAACATGAAGCAAGTTGCTTTATTGCAATTCCCAGGTAGATTATATATCCATGTCTTTCGTTCATGCAGTTTCTGTTTCAGACTGCAGTTTTCTTTGAGAAGCACACAGTTGGATGTGCTTGTAGTGTCCTTGAATGGTTGCCCAAAACTGAACTCCCCATTAGTCCTTCAGTGAGGCAAAGGGTAATCTTGCAAGTGCAGTTCCAAGATGCAACCAGAGCCTACTCCTGGATCACATGGAACACCACTTTTCCCTAACATATCTCATGGCTTAACCAGGAGGCTGGCACACTCAGCCAGGCTGTGTGTATAGGAAGCACCAGATTAAGGATTGTGGTACTCCAAGCTGCTCCTAAAACAGGTTTCGATGTTTAGTTCAGACATGAATGTAAAAAGCTTCAGTGAACACCATGGCTGCCCAAGCACATGCTGCCTTGATACCTCCAGTGATGACCACTGACCATATCTGGTCATATGCTTCCCAGTTCCTTCATTCTCTAAGTGCATCTCTGGCTACTGTAACCAACCATGAACTAGAAGTCCTCTATAAAAAATACTTCTCAGCCACTTCAGTGGGGTTTTCACTCACCCAGAAAGGCTTGGGTTCAGATGTTCGAGTAACGGCCTACTACTCTCCGGGCTTCTCCAGAGCAAGGAACTATTGCCTTTGACTTAGAGAGCATGTGGGACAAGTTATGGTTGGTGCATTTCTGATGATATATAAATCTATATTCTCAACTTTTTAAAATGGTATTTAATGACACTATGACTCATTAATTTTTCTTTGTTTGGTTTTGGTCTTAGTAAATTAGATTATGGGGAGCTGGGGGGAAAGGTGAATAGTACAGAGGGCGTAATGTTTCTTTCTTGTGCTGAGCACCATGTAGTGCTCAAATATTCCTGAAAGCTATAGCTGCACCAGAGAAGACTCTGCTGAGCCAGGAAAACTGGCTTTATATTTGAGACCCTTTCAAAGTTACTAAATTCAATCAAGCTTGTTTCCATCCAGCCAGGAAGCAAACAGGCTCTGCCTGAGCTGCCTCTGTAAATCCAGCTGTTCATGCAACTCCTCAGTTGCTAGTGAGACTTTCTGGTTCTTGGAGGTTATAGGCAAAGGTGAGTGTTGTAAGCCAGGAAGAACAAGGGCAAATTAGCTATAGTTACAATCACAAATGCTTGATTTTTTCCATTTTAAGAGCTGTGTGGTAGAGATGATGTTTACAGTGAGAAATGTTTGCAGTGTTTATTTTATGCTGAGGGAACATTAATATCTTCTAACTCTGTCCTGCACTGAACTCATGCAGAAATTGCTAAGGATAAACATATTTCACCCTGAAACTGTCTCTGCAAACAGAGAGCTCTGGCCTGTGGCAACCAGTTATCACGGAATCTCTGTACAGACCCACAGAACAATGTAAATTGTAAGGGATCTGTGCAGGGCATCAAGTCTGACACCCTGCTCAAGGCAGGGACCACTTGAAGAAGGCTGCTCAGAGCAGTAAAAGTCCTGACACAGTACTTGGTGAAGAAATGTAAGGAATTTCCTTGACTCCAGTTGATGTTACCTGGGGCCACAGTTCCCCTTCGTGTTGCTGATACATTATCCTTCAGACTAAGCATGGCAAAACATGAAACTCATAAGGTGTAAAAAGATGCTTGTGGCATAGCCTCTGGTGGGGAGGCAAAGCACATGCTACACTGCTGAACTACAGCCACTGCTATACCATACCTGACCAGCTGTTACAGTGCAAGGTTATGGGAGTGAGATATCAGAGCAGCAGTGCCACTGCATGCCGCCATGCAGTCAGTGTGCTCGATTTGCTTCTGTCACCTCTGCATGAAAATGGCACTTTCATACTGGTGCTGCTGAAGAACTGGCAGCAATTAAGCAGTCATCTTCTCTTGACCACTTAACAGGAAAACAAGTGGTCCATGTACCATGATGAATGTGCTTTATGCCTCTACCTGATCAAACTCCCATTGCTGCCTGCTGATGCATGGTACTTCTCCACAGAAACTTTCAAGAAGGTTTGAACTGTTGATGACTCAAAAAACATTTTTTAAAATCTGCCTTTGACCAAGTAGTCTCCCTGTAAGTGGTTTTAAATCTCTCAGGAAGCCCATCTTCAAAGCTTGAGTATTAATGAGTACATTTAAAGGCTTTAAATCGACTACGGGTTGATAGGTTCATGAAGACCTTTCAACAGAAAATATCTCCTTACAAAATGGGGATACATTAGAGTGAGATACAAAGTTACACTGCTGTAAATGATGAGAAACCTGAATTTTTAACTGAGCTCAATTCACATGTAGTAGAGAAGTCTGTAAGGGACTTTGTTCAGAAAGAAAGGGAAATAAAGGGTTTAGTTTTTATCACTGCATCTGGGCAGGGGTCATCTTCCTCTTTACTTGTTTGCCTCATCTACTGTTACCACTTGTCCCTTGTGATGTGAGCTCTCCCAGTCTCTCAGGAAGGAGCTGTCAGCTGCTTTGTGTTTGCACAGCATCTCATACAGAGGAGCAGGCCCGTACAGGCCACCAAAATAGGTAATAGTTCACACAGTGATACCAGCCTTCCCAAAGGCTAACAGCTCTGAGATGGCTGTTTGGCTTTGATTGTCCTGAATCAGGTGCTTCAGTCCAACTTTCAGCAGATAAATTTGCTGAAATTCACCTCATCCTAATGCAGACAGTGTAAAGAGGTCAGAAGAATCATGCTCCAGAAATGTCTAACTTACTAGTAAGGGAGTATTAAGGTGACTACCTTTAATGAGATGCATGTGTGGACTGCACTGAAGCCAAATCCTATTTGTATGAGGATTACTATAGAAGTAGACATACAGGAAAGGACAAACTGCTCTGAATTTCCCAACTTCCATTTAAACAACAGACACTTACTAAGCAAGCATCATTACTAGTCTGGGAAAGCCACCACATCTTCCCTATGGCCCACCTCACCAACTTTTGGATATGTCCAATGTAACAGTCCACATTTGAGCTAGTGACCCTTAGTTCTCCTTATACTCAATGGAAGACGTAAGCATGTTCAGAGCAGAGTGTATTTTATCTACTTGAAATACCTGCCTTATGATGAAACAAATGATGCCCCAGAGGAACCTGCTTCTCTTCATTGGCCATTCAGTTTTCCTCTGCAGCATTGGCAGGAAAGTGGGTTCTGGGGCTGTCCAAGAGAAGATGCACCTCACAACATCCCCGTATGCTCTCTGTGAGCAAGATGACAATGCTGAGAATGTCTAAAAGCAACCCGTAGGCTTCTCTCTATATTAGGAGGGAAGGAGGTTTCAGCCTAAAAGGCAAGGAAGAATCTAGGATAAAAGACAGCTAGATCCTGGACAGGAGAGGTGATTTTCTCTGTCCTTCGCTGCTAAGAAAGCAAAGGAATGAGCAAAGGAATGAAAAGCACAGAGAAATAACCGGAGAAAGGGTGCAATAAACATGCTAAAACCCATGTTACCAGTACCTCGGTACAGTGACACCAGTAACAGAGGGAGCTGATTTTCCAAACCAATCTTTCTTTTGTCTGCTAAACAGTAAATGGCACACCTGGAATTTCTGTGTCACATTATTATTGCTGCAGGAGACTGTAAAGCTTTTCCTATCCCACAGTGACACTGCTGACATCAAATGGTGACAGAATAGGGTTCTTTGCATTTACAGATTTCCTATACAACTTGCTATTACTGCTCAAACTTATCAGTAATTTATCCTTGTGTGCCCTAAAAATTCTGCGGGCAGCTGAAGATGTATTCAAATGAAGTAACCCTGCTAGTTTACTGATTCTTCTGCTCTGTTCATAATTACCACCCCATAACAGGTATTACATAGCATCTAAAACACATGGAAAGTTTTTCTGGTGAATGTTATTTCCTTTGTGTATGTGATGTAGCTGAAGATTTCAGGCATCCTCTTCCAATTATGCAGTAAAATGTGTGTCACCAGATATTGTGTGAGAAGAAAAGAAACATTCTGTAAAACTTTTTTTTTTTTTTTCTTAGGATACTTCTGGTATGTTCTAAGGAGGAATGAGATTGGAGAAGCTATCACTCTTTCTGACCCTTAAAGCAAAACAATTTTCAGTGGACTGTTATGTCTGGAAAGAAACAATCCTCTACCCTTTCAACAAGGTAATAGGAGCAATCAAAATGTAGTAGGAGTTTCACCTGCCTCCTCAGAAAAGGTTACCAAGTGAACAGCATTTTGTAAGACTGGCTCTGTGGATGAGAGTATGGGCAATAGGTTTCTCTGCTTACAGAAGGACTGCAGACAAAGAGCTTTTAAAAAAGATTCTGCACGTAGATTCACTCTTTGCTTGTTCATGGGTTACACTGCCTCACCATCCTCCAGTGCAGGCAAGGCAAAAAGTGTTGCAAATGATAAAGCCTGTATCTAAGATGAGAAACTATCCATGGGGATGTACAAAGTGACTGGCAGGAAAGCCCTCTCTGTCAAACCCAAGTGTTGCAGACAGATCCTGAGGACTGACCCAGCACAGGGGATGGACATGGCTGTTGCCCATCTCCCTCTCACTGCATCCTGTGAGCATGGGGCTTCCTGTTCCCAGTACAGAGACTATCCCAAGATAAACAAGAAAGTAATTATTCATTTCTTCAATGCACACTTCATTTCCCTTTTCTGAATCACAGTTCAAGTCCCTTTTAGATGTACCCTTGATATCAGCGCAGTAGTCTAACTACAGACAGTTCTAACTTTAAAACAAACTACATCAATACTGTATAATGTATAGGATTCAATTTACATGCCGGATACATATGCAAGTATGTATGTACTTTGCAGAAAAGCACTGGAAGTTAATTAGTTTTTAAATTTATAGGCATATATTTTTTTTTTTTTTTTTTTTTTTTTTTTTTCAGGAGCTTGTTGCTTTTCAGTGCAGCAGTACTGTACACTACTTTGTTAACAGTATCAGACTACTCAGATGTGTCCAGAATGCTCTGACAAGGCTCCAGTGCTGAACGCGTCCTGAGGGCTCTCTCCTCCTGCCAAATCCTAGGGGAGACAGGGATGCCTCAGCTCCACAGATGACCTGTTGTCCCATCGTGCTTTGCAGTAGGGAAACAGACTGGAATTGCAGTTTAGTCCTTCAGTTCACTGGATAAAAGTCATCTCTACGCAAAAGTCCTGTGCACCACCTAAGGTCCTCTTTTAGACCTGAAATTAGGATGTGAAATGGATATAAATGGTGTAGAGATCTGACTTTGGATGCCTGCAGAGGGGTGAATTTCACCTACTAGGAACAGCTACAGCCAGGTTTCTAAATCCATGCGAAAGTGCTGAGAATTCGCACCGTTTACTGGCTTGGCTGGGGAATGAAGATGCTCACAGGAAATGTTTGACACTTTTGCAGGAATTTGGCTTATTTTGTACTAGAGAACAGATAGGCTATACCTGAATTTCTAAACTTATTGTACTGGCATCAGAATAACTAGAAACCACAAAATGTAGCATGAAAAAAAAGAAAAAATAAAGAGAGTAGACTATGTATATATTTACATCTACATACATCTACATATAGAAGCTTCTGTTCACTAGAAATCCTATAAGCCACTGCCTGCAATAGCATCCATCCTAAGGGAATTCTAGAGATGAATCTTAAGAGACTGAGGAGATGGGGTTATGAGGTGAGCCCATCTGTGTCAGCACCTTATCCAGCCATTGCAATGGTCCATGCAGGTGGATCTCAATCCAGCAGGGTGTGCTTGTAACATCTTGGCGATGATACTCTGCTCCCCAGCCCTATAAAAGCATCAAAGGAACGAAAAGTGAGGTGTTTTTTTTTTTTAAAAAAGAAACATTAAATCACAACTCCAGTGCTGACAGTCTAACACAACTACAGATCATCCACCACCCAAGTTCCCCAGATGTAATGCTTTGTCCTAGAGATAATCTTAGCTAAAAGCTTTGCTCGTTTAAGGTCATTGTTATCACAGTTCTCAGGGACTCTATAGTATTAAATTAAAAATGCTCAGTCACACTTCCAGGTGCTGAGACCAAATGGCATCGAAAGGTCTGTTTCCAAGCTTGGCTGCTTGCAAACAGCCCATGGGGAATGGTCCCTGCTGTTCGCACCCCAGATACGTGCACAGGAAAGTCTGCCAGACTGCTGTCTGGTGCAGATGAAAAGCATGACAGGCCTTGTCGTAACAGTTTAACAGGAACTGGGAATTATCCTGGGCACTGCTTCATTTATTGATAGAGAGGCATCCTATGAGTCTGAGACTCTAGAAGTTCTAGGTATTTATCTGAACCTCTGGAAACCTCCAGCAACGTTCCTATATACCATATCTAATCTATACCTAGCCATTTCTCATAGGTTTTCTATCCTTGAATATGTCTTCTGTTCCCATGGGAGTTCCCAGCTGCCTGCTCTGGGAAGTCATGCAGTAATTTCTCCAGCTCTTTCAGGGAGATAAGGGATATAGAGCATCTGACAGACGATGGGATGTGGTGCTGGCAGGAGGAAAAGAGAACCAAGTGGGCAGAGTGTCTGCTTGTTAAGCAGGAAGCCTGATTTCACAGCAACACAAGTCATCCAAGTCACAGCCCAAAGTCTCAAAGCTCACCAGCTGTCTTGCTGCCAGAAGTGAACTCAGATTTCCACAGGGCAATGTGCAAAACCTCGTCCCACTGCAGGATGTAGCTTTTCATTTGTGAGCCACTGGTCAGAGAAGCTGAGCCTTACCTATCATTATGCTAGTCATGCAGGTTGATATTCTTGTCTTAAAAAAGAACATGGAAGTATATTAAGATTGATGCCTGCCAAAGGTACCTGAATTGTAGAGTGCTGAACAACTTGGACAACTGAGGCTACTAGAACCCATTTCTCTAGATGAGCAGCTGCAAAACTAGGATCAACACCAAAACTTGATAATTAAGTGGTCTGGATAAAATTAATTTCTACTTAATGAAGAGGGAAGAAAGCAGAAGAGTAAGATACAGACCCACCAAAGCCCAAGGAGTACTTTTAAAACAGGCAGCATTTTTCTGACCTGTAGAGAGCATTTATCAGGCTAGAAAAAGGCCTGTGTTCACAGGCAGCTCAGATCAGCGTTCTGGAAACATAAAATGCCACTCTTTCTATCAACGCAGTCAGACTTCTCAGTCTGTGAAGCCTTAAGTACTCGGCTGCAGTGAAGATGCACGGCCAGAAGGGCAAGCGTCGGAGTGGTCGGTGCACCTCTGCTGACTGGCAGGACGGAAAATCCGGAGGAATGGGAATGACAGGGTGCAAGCACAAGCTGCCTTTTGGAGGAGCCTGGCGGTGGCGGGCATCTCCCTCTGCTGGCAGCTCCCAGACACTCAGCGCTGCTGTCTCGCTGCCTTCTGGAGCTCCCAGCAGGGGGAACGCCAGGAGGGCAGGACCCCCGGTGCGTCCCGCACATCACTCCCGGGCCGCGGGCAGCCTCCTTCATTCCCGGGGACGAAGTGAACCCGCAGTGGAGCTCTCTTAAGGAGGGAATAAAATGAGAACAACTTGCAAAGCTGTGGTGGTGTTTTGCGCAGATGTTGGGAAGAGGACACCGATACACCCACAGGGATACCAGAAATAAACCTTCCAGCACTGGGGAGATCAGCTGAGGGGTCCTGCTGCACCTGCCAGCCTTTCCCACCTCCTGTGGGCAGCAGCTTTTTTCAGTCCAGGCTCCAGCCACGTCCCAGAACGCTGAGTTGCCTCGTGCAGTGGAGCACGGCCAAGTCTGCTGGGTCACTGCCGTAGCCCTAAGACCTGGGGAAATGTGGGAGGAAGGGTGCTGGGTTCAGACCTCAGCTTGGAGGAACTCTCCATCTCCCCACTTTGTGCTACAGCTGCCTCATCTGTGGAGAGGAGACAACAGCCATCCTGCTTTGGTTATCAGCAGTGCTCACTGGACAGAAACTGCTGTCTGCTCTCAGTTGATACACTCACATTTGCCCGAGGTTTGAGCTCCTCACAGCTGCTCCACGGGCACACGAAGGGTATCAGAGGGGGCAGGACCTTCACCTGCCTCTGTCCCATCTCCTGCCTCTAGAAGATGATACAGTCCTGGCAAGTTTCTCTTGTCTTGGTCCCTTCCCATCCCTGCCTCCCAGCTCCAGCATTGGTGGGGTTTCCAGCCCTTTGGCTCTCCTTGCCCTGTGAGCTGTAGGTGACCAGCAGGATCTGGACACAAATCAGGGGAGAAGCCACAGGACTGCCCTGCACCTGGGGACTCTTGATGTGTGGCTCTGACAAACAGCATGCTCCTCTGTGCACTGCATACACAAGAGCCAGGGGCATTCCTTGTCCTCAGACTGAACACACCAGGGATCACACCTTGTACGAGAAATAATTTGAGAAGACTCCAGTACAAGAAAGGGTTTTTACAGGCCAGGAAGGAAGAATCTAAATGATATTTGCATAGCCGTTTTCCAAAGGTCATGGGAAAGGGTTCGAAATAACTCCTTGCACTGGTCTTCTGGTGCCTGAGGCATGATAGTGGCTGCTATTGTTTCAATAAAGCAAGGTGATAATATGGCAACAGCATTATTTAGTGCATCAGCACCACCGTTTCTGCTGCCTTGCTGGGCATGGAGGCAGATAACACATCAAAGAGACTGCCCCTGAGTTGCTGAGATAATGAAAATATTGTGTAACTGGCTACACTGCCTTTACAAACAACATGCCCATACAAGTCTTCATTAAAGAAAATGCTATTTGTTGGGTTTCTTGCTTTCTTTTTTTCCCCCTAATGCTTGCGTGTGAACAAGATGTCAGTTCCTTCCCAAGAACAAAGCAACAGTGTGGTCACAGGCAGGGAGATTTTGGCTTGGACTCCTGGGAGAAGTTACTGGGCACTCTTAACACTCTCAGAAAGCTAAGGAGAGGGATCCCAAGGATGGCTGTAAACAGTCAGACCAGAAAGCTGTGTGGGGTTTAACTCATCTGCTTTGCAGAACATATGGGAATGGGGATCGAGCCTCAAGCAGTTTTGTAGTATCTTAGATGGGAATTCAATCAACTTGATTCAGTCATTTGTAATAGAACCAAATTTGCAAGACAAAGGGACATACTCAAACCACTTCTTATGGTACCTAGCAGGACCAACTGGCTTCTAATGGTGCAACTTTTCTAGTTTGCAGGCTGAACACACTGCTGTCAGCTCTAACCAGCAGCACTATAGGAAGTCATTCTATCACATCTGTAAACAGTCTTGAAATACCATTCTCTGAGGTTTAGATGCTACAGTAGGCACCTAAGTAAATCCTAAGTGCTAAAAAGAGTCAAGAGATCTCATTCTGGTGAGAAGGCCATTCAGAAGATTTAAGAAACTCCCACAAAGAGTAATATTTCTCACACAGAGCAGTCAGACTGCGAAGTTCAAATATTGAAGATATGGAAACAATAATGGCTTTCATGGCCTCCTGTCTCTTCCACATAACAGGGGGAAGGTCAGATGTTCTTTCCAGTTTTGTATTCTGCTTGCAAGAAGCCCTTGGTCATATGGCTGGCCAGAGTGAATGTCATCAGAAGTTAAGACAATCTCTTACTAGGGATCAGACAGGTGGCAAACAACAACAGTTTCCGGCAAGCTCAGTGGAGGCTGAAGGAGGACACTGTTTCTTGACTGAGACCATATATACCAGTCTATAGCAATGGTGAGACTGTAAATTAGTCTAGAGACATAAGGATATTCTTCTCAGATCTATGGCTCTGCCAAGCTCTATTGCAAACTATTAACAATAGGAGAGATCACAACCACTTAAGATGTGTGCTACAACATTTACAAGTTGCTAAGCCCCTCTAAACAGAGCTCTTCATGCAATCAGTGGGGGAACATCTCCATGCAATCTCTGCTTATTTTCCATAAAAAACTTATGGAATACCTAAATATTGGAATCTAAGAAATTTCCAGGTTGACCAGAAAAGCTATAGCTTTTAAGAACCTAGAAGTTTAAGGCAATACTGGAAAACAGCTAGTCTGAACTGCTATTTGCAAGTTGGGTGTCTACATCACCACTTGGGAAGGATTTGATGGGGTCTAGTTTTGTACCGAAGCTAGCAAGGGATGGGATTTGCCTTTTCACAAATTCTTACTTTAACAAAGAATCCTTACTTTAACAAAGCTCATTCGAATAGTACACATCTTGGTCAGCTCATACACCACTTCAAAACCATGATTGACTGACTGGGCAAGCAGCTGGGCGAAGAGCTGGTTGTTGAAGATCTTGAGGCTGCAGCCACTGGGGATCTTGCAGACAGTGGCTGGGTGGAAACCATGCTGGTAGTTACAGTTGCGGCTTTGCACAAAAATACTGCTGTCACTGACACATTCAGCATAAACTTCCCCACCAACGTAGTAAAGATGAACACCTCAAAAAAGAAAAAATGTGTATTATTTCTCCATAGTTCACAACACACTTTATACCAGTAATTCTTTAACTATTTTACTGTTGTGGGCATACAAACCCAGGATCATTCCAGGCACTCAGTGCCTATAAGTTGCCTTTTAAAAGACAGTAAACTGTGTGCATATCTGTAAAATGGATCCCCCAACTTTAAGAGGAAATTGTCATAACCACTATTTTGAGGTACTGGTCTAGAAGGAAAAAGGCTTGGCATGTGATGTTTTTCTTTGTTTCTTAGTGAAAGTTGGTTTACTTCTTTAACCCAACAGCATGGTAATTTATGACAAGACACACATACATGTACATATACACACACATAAATACCAAACATGTCAACCATATATAAAACATGGATCAAAACTGCCAAAGAACTGACAAATCTGTTATGCATTACACATCTAAATGTATTTTCACTGTTGAGCACATGCATGCTGACCAAGACTCACTTCACTGCATGCTATTTTTTTACTACACGATCCTATCTCGTGCAGTTCAAACACAGCATGGTGTGTACTTAAAATAGCATTTCAGTATTTTACTTTATCCATCATGTCAGAACCATGTATTTGCATTTACATGACATGACTTACTCATCAGATCCTGTTCAAAGTGACCTTTAGCAAGAAAATGACTGATATCTTTCTGGACTTTTCAGTGTCCAAGTGACTTACCAATACTAACTCTCCGATTTTTACTATGCCTTGGGGAAATGAAGATGGAAGCATTTCTATCCATTCAAAGACTCTGGTCCTCTCAGGACATCTGCTTGCATGAAAACATACCTAATTGGTGGGAGAATTTATCTTGGCCCAATTCAGCAACGTTAAAGTTAGGGATCTTGTGTAAGCTAATTGTGTAGATGCCTTCTCTAGGTGACAGATGATGAGAGGCACTGTGACCAGATGATTCACTCCATCCGCAACAGAGTGCAGGCTCACAGCCAGCTTAAACTGATAGAAGTCTGTGCAGGTGCTGAAAAGGCTCTCTTGTTCCCTGCCCCTGCTGCTTCTTACCCCACCTGCTTTCATGCTGGCAGCAATAGCTGGGATTGAGCAGCGCTATCCAGACTGGGGAACTGAACCAGCTAATAAATTCAAGAAAAAACAAAACAAAGCAAAATATTTATTTGCAGCGAGATCTTCATCAGTGCAAGCATGGCAATGGGGATCCACACTACTTAAACGTGAGTATGAAACCACACCCTGAAGGGGGCCAAGTCATCCTGTGAAGATGCCAGACATTCACCCTTCCCATGGCTAGATTAGGTGAAATGAACCCCTCCCATGGCCAAGAGAGGTGGAGGAACTCAGTTCTTTGTTCTCATAAAAACCACCACTAAATAAAAATACAATTCTCCTCTCTATTCCCAGGTATGGCATTCAAACCCTTACATACAAATGCACATGTTCACAGAGTCTCAGTGGAGTGTCTGCAAAGCCAGTGATAACTATGCTTTAATAATTCAGTTGTAATTAGTTTTATTCCTGCTGTCTTTCATACAAAAAAGACTGGTTACATATTCCCACTCTGTTCATCATTCTGTGGTCATGACAGCAAGGGGCAGCACCACATCCTTAGGACAAAAACAGCCTCTAAACAGAAGTGGGAAAGGCTCAGGGAAAAGCAGGTTGAGTGGGAAAGGAATGTGGGAAAAATACGCTCTCCCATAGACTTCCAGGATGACTCAGACGGGAACCTTAAAGTCTGTCTTCAAGCCATCACTTGACTTTTACTTCTATGCACCCACGAGATCTCAAATTAGATGTGAGCAGCGAGGGGTGTGGCTCAGAGCACACACTAGCATTGCACTGGGAACATGGGTGAGATGACAGCTCCATTAGATCAGTTGTCAGCTCCAGTCCAACTGCACCAGACATTATGGGGTGTTGCACACTGTGACTGCTATTACTTGACCTGTGTCTCTTTTCCCTTCCGTGGAAGATGGATAAAAGGGAAAGACTAAAAACACGAAGGTCCTAGGTAACCTTGATGGAGTCCCTATGACTTTCTGAAATAGAGTGAGAACACAGGGTAGGGAGACAAGAATAAGGACATAAATGTTTTCCACATTTCAAATCTTCAGGCATGGCTACTGGTTTTGGGTGACCACGCTTTTGGGTTGCTATGGTGAAAAATTTTAAAGGTGTATTTTCAGAGTATATTGAGTAACCCAACCTCTGAAAAAAATTAATGCTTTCAAAGGCATTGCCCAAACTTATGCTATAACAACAAAACTCCCAAAGTCACTTCTGAAAGCAAAGGCTACAATTTGCTTTTTCCTTGTGAACTTTTTAAAAACAATAAATACAGCAGTAATGAAATGTCAGTGTATATTTTCAATCTTCTGGTATTCGATCACCAGAGACAGGCACCCTCAAGGAAGCCAAGCAGCTGAATACATATTTGCAGAAGACCAAATCAAGGGTCCATATGTTTTAGTGGGATTTCACTGCTCTCTGCAGAAACTGGAAATTCAGCAGTCTCCAAGCATCCACATGTTTTTGACACTCCAATCAGAAGTCCCCTTTTTGTCCTTGAAGTCTGACTGCTGAAACAGGTCCAATTGCTAGTAGATGTCGCATTGTGTTCTGGATTGTTTTTAGCTTTGATGTGGTATTTCCAGGAAACCGTTTCACGCTGATACACTAGATGACAATTCAATCACATATCCTTATCCTACTGAGCTAATCTTGTTTACTCACTCTTTTTTCTGCCCTGTTAACATGTGACAATTGTATCCATTTCAGTAGCTTTCATCTGTCCAGCACGCCTTTGAACTACAGCTTTTAGAGCTGCTCTGTGCTCTTCTGCAGGCCTGTACTGGTGCCACCTCTACTCCACTTGAACATGTTTTTTTAAGATTTGCATAACCAGGGAAGAGCAGTAAGCAGTAAAATTAAGGATCTCTGATATACTAAGCTCCTCTCTGGGCAACCTGCTCCCTTCCCTTGGGCAGATTCCTAGTGTAAGACTTTAAAGGACTTTTAATCAATGAAGACAGATCTTCAGATTTGAATGCATGAGGACCATTAGCATTTACCTCATTTTCTTTCTGTTCTGCCTCTTCCTCTTTTTGGGCAGAAAGTCACAGGATGTAACATCGTCAAACGACAGCTTTGACTGGGATCTTCTGTCATTCTTCTTTTAGGGCTGGGCTCAACTTTGATCTACACCCCTTTTTTGACAGCTTATGTTGATAGAGAAGCTTTGCTTTATTTTCTGAGTAAGTTAGAACTGGATGTACAACTCATTTCTACCCCTCACAACAAACTACTATAACAGACACTTGTCATGACAGCATCACGTTGACTTCCCACAGTGCATCTGCAACACAAGTGCTTTCCCTTCCAGAGGAAAGTGCAAGAGCTAAGTAGAACATCTCCTGCACTAGCCTTCAGGTTCTCCTGCACTAGCCTTCAGGTTCACTGTTGTTTGTAAAAACTATGTCACATTTGTCTCAGAGCTTCCTCATATTCAGTCATTCAACACTAGACTATCAAGAGCCAATTAAAATACTGCTCTAGGCCTGGGAAATGAGGTGAGGTTGACAAGATAATAGGAGTGGAACAATTAGAGTTAATTAGTCCAGTGGGAAATCTATTCCCAGGCAGCTACCGGTGAGAGGCTAGCTTGGCAAGATAATGAGTCTAGACTGGATATACCAGAACAGGCAAAGCTCCATCCGCACAGAGAAGTGGCCGGTACAGGGCTTCTGACTCACCACCACAAACAACAGTAAGTTCTAAGAATATCAGGCCCTATGCAGCCCTGGTGAGCTGGGATGGAGTGTGTGCAGCCATGCATGTCCAGGTATGGTCTCCTCATACTCGTCACCAGTAGCATATGATCCTGCATGAACAGGGGTATACGTACACCGAAAGTGAAGAATAGAAGGAGAACTGCTGGAGGGAGAATCCAGAACTTCGTTTCACTGGTGAGAAGTTGACAAGGCAGGGAATGAGACTGGTAGGGGGGAAAAAGCTACAGAGGCAACTCCGGTAGAGTTCTTCAGCTAAGTAACTCAACTACTAAGTGTTTCATCCATCTCCCTTTGTTATTCGGTGGGAGGAGAACCAGCCCTGAGGCACCAGCAATTATCCTTTTAGTGGCATTTCAATGGCAATATTCCCAGTTGCCAGAAGCTCTAATAAATAAAATGAAAATACATACTGCTAAATTAGAACACACAGCTATAAACAACATTCTTCTCTTTGCTGGCCAAGTAAATAGCTTTTGTAAGGAGCTACTCTGCTGATCATTATCCAGTCAGAAAAGAATCAGCCGCTTTTCTATTTCAGAAGTAATCTTAGAGCTTTGGTTTTAAGACAAGCACATCTGACAAATCAGCCAGGTTTGTTAATGCAATGCACAGTTCTTTCAAGCTCTGAATATTCCTGAGAGAAGGGATTTCCTCTTACCTTTTCCTATGTGTCTCCTGGTGTTTTCTATAGTAGAGTTGCGGTTTACATTTGAGAGCAGTCCCAGGCAGAACCTGTTTTTGTTATTTGAGGGATCTGTAAATCCATCTATAAGGATACTTCGAGAGGAAGCCTGGAAAGTCTCCCCTACCCGGTTGTTGAGTTCATAGTAGGCAACTGAGCACCAATGTTGGGGTTCCTCATAGCAAACAGGCCGAAAATCTGTAGGAAATAAAATTAATCAGCTGCTCAGGTCTCAGGAATATTTTTTAAACAACCATTCTCTGTTTTCTTTTCTCTCTCTCTCCCACTCCCACCCCCCTCAGCTCTTCATCTAAACAGTCACTTAGGTCATGCTTTATCTCAACAGCAGCTTCTGTTTCTTCTTAATTTTATGACTGAAGCCCCAAACACACAGAGGGCTGGTACACCAGCCTAACTCTAAGCCTCTGAGGAGTCCCAGTTGTTCTTAAAAGTGTTAACTCCACTGCATTAAATTAAGCACATGCTGACATTCCATGCTGAACTGGGGCCCAAATCTTTACACTGAAAATAGTAAGGGATACATCTGCTCTGCACACCAGCAGCCACTAGGGATGACAGATGGGCTCAAAGCAAGTCAAAACTGAGCCAAGCTTTCAGCCTAATACCAAACTCTGAAGTTCAGAAGTAATCAATCACTCCCCCCAATTTTTTGCATGCTCTGAGGCTTTCCACTTCCATGTGGGACTGTAAACAGAAATGTCAGAAGGTCATTTCTTTTGGATTTACCCCTGCCCAGGTTTTCTAACTCAGAGGTAAAGAAAGACTCAAAAATGTAACAGAATGTCTGATCCTCATTTGTCCTACAGGAATTAGTGGGAAACCTTATCCTGCCTGCCCACCACAGGCATGTGAGCCCCCTGCCCCCACAGCACCTCTGTGAATAACATCTAATAAACTTCCAACTAATACTCACTAGGGCAGTGATCAAGGATGGTAAACTGTGGTAAAGGGATTAAAGTATCTCAACAATTTATTTAAAAGTATTGGTGTCTGATAACTAGTTATCTGACCATTCTGTGTACCCATCTGTAATCAGCACTATAATCCTCATCCTCCTGCTCCAGTTCTGTCATACAGACATGTTCCTCACTGTTTCAGAAGGCTGTTAATATTTTTTAATGTGCATGTATGTGCACAGTGTTCAGTCCTCATGCCATAAAGGAATTTGTTTAGGACTACAATATGCTAGACTAAAAGAAAAATAGTGATTTTTCCTTAGCAGTAGCAGGAAACCAAAGGAAAACCCAGAAGAACTCCATTTCCCCTTGCTGCTCTGCAGCTATGGGTTTTGAATGGTGGAGGCATCACCTGCCTTTACTAGTCTGGAGGTAGTAGAGACCATGCTGGAGAGGTCATAAAGGTGCTTTGAGGAGAGCGAGGAAGATCCCAGACCCTCCTACTCTGACCACCCATGCACTCTCCCACTAAAGCATTCTTATATGAGGATAAAGAGTTTGGCCTTCTGTAAAAATCTCCTTGTATTTCACCAGAACATGTCCTTTCTTTTCTAGCCAGCCAGTAATGTAACATTAATACAAAGATGGCAGTAAGAAAGGTCCTAACCACAAGGCTTTAAAGTACTTGAAACCCAGAACTGAAGGTGATAAAGAAATCAGTTCTGATATTAATAGTGCTCTTGTGTGTTATGTTGCCTCACCATCCTTGATTTGATATCTTTGTCTTTACAACATAGATAACAGTGTTTGCTTTCATTAACAGCCTTCTAACTGTAATAGTCCATGCATGCAAATAAGGTCTAAACTCTGCAACTTCACACATAATTCACTGAATTCTTAAATCAACCCTTTCTGCTAGCTAATGGATGGGTCTGGGACACAGCCTTACTGCAAAACTCTGAAACCTATTATTACAGATCAATAAGCCTTTTTGTTCAAATAACAAATTTTGCTTAACAGTTTTTCTTTGAAGAATAGTACAAATGGTTATTTACTTTCAGCTTCTCCATCGGCAGATTTACCTCCATTGGGCAAAGACAGCACTAGTTGACTTTCAGCTATTGCATCCATTGACCTCCCATTGTGGGTTCCTGGAGGTTCCCTTGCATGGTAAGGTGGGGGTGGAGTTTCCACTATTGGAAAGAAGGAAAGAAAGAAAGTAAAGAAAGAAAAAACACCTAAATCAATACATTGGTAATTTCTTTCTGGCTTTTCCTGGTGAATACTTAACTTCATCATTGTTTAGCTAGAGAAGGGCTGGAAACAGAGCATAAATCTGAACCTGACTGCCCTTCAGTCTCCAGATTAAGACCATTACATGTTCAGGAAGGACAGGAAGGAAGGGCTGCACTTGAAAGAAAGAGGAACAGTCACAACTGGGCCTCAAGCCTAGAGCGGTGTCCAGTCAAGCTCTCTGTTAACACCAGTTGTTACCCTAAGAAAGTAATGCAGTTTGATCCTCAGTTCCAGAGTTCTCTTGCAAATTTAAAACTTGAAGAGGATGATTTAAGAACAGAAGCTAACTTTAACTGATCCTCTGGGAGAAAGCTCTTTTTCTTCACAGTCTATAAAAAAAGCCTATGGAAAGCCTTTACACTCTAAAATCAGAGTTGGCAAAACTCCCTCCAGATTTGTCCTTTGTACCTCTGTCCTACAAGGTAAGGCTGGCCCTCTTCTGGTTTGTTCAGTCTCATATCAAACAGCAATGGCTGTGACAAAAAATATGGAGAAAAAGTATCAACTCACAACCTACCAGCTCCTGATTTGTTTAATTTATGGTACAGTAAGCTAGAAAACAGAAGGTGACTCTATAGTGGGGATTCTCAAGAAAGACAGGAAGCTTTAGAAAGCCAAAGAAAAAGGGACTTCATTTTTGTATTTGAAAATGTCAAAAATCACTACATAAGCACTAAAAGCATGTAGTTTCATTCATTTAAACAGAAACTCAGTGGGCTTATGTGTAAATTACAGCCATATACAAACTTGCAGGACTAAGGGCCTCTAAGAAGACCAGGGCTTAATTTGATTCCACGTTGAAATTTCCTCTTGTGTTTGGGATCTGTTGGCTGGCCCTCAACAGAGTGCAACTTCACTCAGAGTGGATAAATGTGGACTGTCTTGTAAGAAAGTAATTGAATCTTCCAAGTAAGGAATTTTATTTTATTTTAAGGATTGATCAGAATTTAGAAATTTCATACACTATATCATATTTCTAAAATATAGATGACATAACCCTCCCAAAGAAAATGCGACAAGCAGGAACAGTCAAACACAATTAAGAAAGAGTGGAAGAGAATACAAGTCACAGAAAATAATATAATGTGGTTATACAGATATTTTTGATGTCTACACCCAAGCTAGTCACCGTAAGGTCTCCTTATAGCCACTAAAGAAAAATAGGCACCTGCAGACATGGTGCATCTCAGCTACTTTAGACATACACTTTAAGATGCAATGAATCTTGTTTGAGGAGTGCCTGGTTTTCTCCACTGATTACAGAGAGAGTACAGGCAATTGCATGAGATTTGGTCACATCAATCCCATTCAAGGTTCTTGATGTAACTCCAGTTTGCTTTAGATAGTCTTCCATCCCTGATTGTTACACAGGAAAAATATGCTTATCAGCGTGCTGTGTGCTGTGATATACTGAAGTTCAGGTTGAGCCACTTCCATTTTTAAGTAGCTTTGCAAGGTCCCAAGTTCAGTTAAATGCACAAGACAGAGTCATTATATAGTTGCAATGGACCTGATTTACCTGTCAGAACCAGCTCAACTGAATCCAGCTTGGTTACACGTAGGTGAAAGAAAAAGATGGGAGAAGACAAACAAGTCCTACTACTTGCTGAAATGGTTCAATGTTGCTAAATGTGATTTAATCTGAAGTATAGATATAGAGAAGAAATGAATGAAGGTCCATTCAATGAATAGAGAGGGAAGGAAAAACATCACACTGTATTGAAAGTGTCCATCTTAAAAGGAAGTTCAAAACTACAAATACCTTGTAAAAATAAACACCTTTCTTGCACTTAAAATCAACACGCACATCATTAAGGACATTAATTTAAATGCTTTGTAGTTGAGACATTAAAACATTAAGTTACAAGTTTCTGACCTGAATTCATCTTTGTGAAAAAGCTGAGATCATTGAATCTATCTGAGTTACAACAAAGTGCAGAAGTTAATCTGAACCATGTTTTGATATTAAAACTACCTCTCAGCTGTGTTGCATGATGCCTTCTTGGTATATTTAACAGCAAAAGCATAGTTAAATTCACAGGTAATTAGAGCAGTACTAAGTAAGGAGTCCAAAACGCAACCAATTTGAGTGACATAACCCTGTCGACCTCAGAAATGTGGAGCTGATGAAACACATTCCAAAGTCCTAGGAATTTTCCTGGTGGCTTCACCAAGTGTTGGGCCAGATCGTTAAACACCTTACTTTCCTGAAGTTATACCGTCAGTGGGATCACCATACATTAAAAAATATTTCTGTATATCAATTTTCCCATTTTATCCTGTCCCTCCTGGTAGAGGTGCTTAACTTAGGTGTTGCAAGTGCTCTTTCCATGCATTGTATCAGAAACTTGGATGGGAAGCTTTAGGCAGAAGGTGGCCTGGCACACCTGCTCCTGTCCTCAACTTTCCCCTTACAGTAACCATGAAATCTTATCCAGGTACTACCATGAGTGGGATGACTATAACTCTTAGTCCCTTGAGCATCTGTCTCAAGGACTGGAAGACAATAGGATGCAGTCACAAGAAATCATGTTCCAAATCCATCCTGTCCAACAATTCAATCTGTAGCTACAGCCTGAGGGGAGCACACGGAATTGGCACCTGACCCCAGGCCCTGGCAAGAACCATGACTACCTCAGTCAGGAAAGTTCATTCTTACCCGTGAGCTGATAAGGACTTCCTGGTCCAGAAGAGCTTCCTGGTGAGTTGGGGTAGCTGATGCTGTTAGGTGACTGGGAGAACATGTGGCTTGGTGATGATGGAAAAGGGGTGCATGGAGGATGCTGGAAAGAATCGGGATAGGTGGCATTGTGCGGCATCAGTGGCTCGCTGTGCAGAGAAGTGTTTCGAAACTTGGCAAGGAGGCTGAGGTGAGGGTTAAACTCACTGTGTCTTGGAACGAGTACAGGAGGTAGGACTGAAAATAAAAACAAGAACAGAAAATATCTGGTTAAAACTGCACTCCTGAAATTATATCTCTTCGTAAGTTAAAAAAGGCATATTCCACGCTGCCCAAATAGTGCTGTCTATACACAAGTCATTGAAGGGCAACAAGCCCGTCCAAAACGAAGAATCAAAAGCTGACTCTTGGACCCTTTTTTCCCAGATTTGAAGCCAGTTGCAGCAATTCCATATGCAAAAGATGGACTCATTCCTGACTTGAACAAAGTAGCTTAAGATTCACATGTACAGACTCTTACAGAAATGCAAGTGGCACATTTCTCCATCTCAAAATTACCTATTCCTTCCTTCCCGAAAGACTGAGCATGTCAGGAGTTTGCTAAATATTAACAACAGGATTTGCCAAAACCACAGACAAGCTTAATAATAATTGATAGTGCTCCACAATGCACTGCATATTTTACTATCAGTGTTTTACAGATGGTCAAAAGGAAGCACAGACCTGAATCTAGACACCCGATTTAAAAGGTTTTCAGGTACTTGAAAATGCTGCCAGACAGACAGTGGGATCTTTAAAAGGAATTGTAAATGGCAATTCAAATACAGGAGCAATATTAATTTAGCTCTTGCACTATAGTTAGAAAAGATCTAGCATGAGGAGGCAAATGTCAATGGTTGGTAGTTAAGACATGAAAAACGCAGGTCAGAAAACTCAAATCCAAATTCACCCATGTAAAAACTGTTCTAATAGAAGATATCATTTCACAAACTGTCTTCACTTACATCTCATACTGTCAGTGCTGTTAACAGCATTGCTGAATTGAGAAACCTAAAGTTGACCCAAATTATTTTAGATTCTGACATATCAGGATCACTTAAAAAAAACTGACTAGTGAGTTACCTATGAAGATGCAGCCCTAAGGCTGGAACACAAAGAGGCTTGCTAAATAGTTCTACATATGGGAGTTCAACTTGAGGCTTTAACTGGGTCCTCCATGGTCTTTGGGGGGGGAACAGCACCTACAGTGGGTGATCCAAAATATCTCTATTAGTTACTAGCTCACATAGTGCCTAATTATCTTAGTTAAGGCCTTAAACACAGGTAGGGAGAATGAATCCCCAGTTGCTATTGTGCAGATCTAAAAGCCACCAGAGAAGATGAGGCAATTCGAGTTTTTGTGACAAGGATAAATTGTCCCAACACTGGGAACAATTCAGCAGGCTTGTATTGATTGACCTAGTGTCCACAGTTCCACTGGCCTAAAACCCAGTGGCATGTAATCTTTCAGTCTATCCTTACTAGCTTATGGAAACAAATAGCAATGTGTGCTTTTGGTTATAAATACTGACAGGAATATATGGTTTGAACATGTTTTAACATATTGTTTGGGCCCAAAAGCTCTGTCTAGGTAAAGCCAATTCTTTTTAGGTAGGTTACCTAACAGCTTTTAATTACAGCTAACTCTCATTTATCCAGCATAATGAAAGAGTAGAATAATTGCTATAAAGTAAATAATATATAGATAATGCAAAACATGTGCATGAGAAGAGGCTGTAGGAACACCCTTGGAGTGCACCCTTAGTGCACATCGACTGCTTAGAGATCTGGGGCAGTTTAAGCAGGAGGAGGAGGGGGACCAGTGCCTGGTACCAATGGCAGGTTTACAGCTTCTTGCTTCTACATCAAGCAAGCTGCACCTGGGACAGGGCTAAACCATGCTCTTGCCCACCCACTGGCATGCACCATTTGGGAATTTGCCAGTCACCCATGAACTGAAGAACCAAGCCCTAAAGAGATCTAAAAGATCAGACTGATGACATCTTCTTGCCTGACTGGAAACAGGCACTGGGACACCTGTTAAGAGACTCTTCTCTGGCCCAATGCATTTCTAATTATTTTCTGGCCAGCACAAGGATGGTACTTTGGAGACTAACTTCTTTCTGCTTCTGATATGCTGCTACCTGTGAGATTAAGATTTTGTTGCTACCCTCTTAAATTCTTTGGTAGAAAAAGGTAATCTGCTTCTTTGGCTTTTTAGATTTCCTAGGGTCTCCAGGTAGAACTCATACAGGCAATATAGGTATTCACATCTGAAATGCATTGCCCAGCCCCCCACAGATCTCTTCACAGCCAGTGGAGAGAAACAGACTCTTTTATTGCTCAGCTCATCTGCTCTATACTGGGACAAGACTACTACCACCATTGCCGATGTGGTTTTAGTGGGCTGGATCCCTCACATCCCATGTTCCTGGTAGCTGCTTCTGGAGTTTGCCTCTGCTGCTTCATGAAACTGGTATGATGCTTGCCAGGTCTGCTGTTGCTCAGCCAGCTCTGACCAGCAGCCTTGGAAAATGGGGAAGTGGTGATCCCATTCCACCCAGCATAGGTGCTGAGCAAGGGACAGCTGTGCTACAGCAATGCCATGCAGTGTTGGGAGCTTGGCACCTGCACCTCACTGCGGGTACCACCACTAAGGAAGCGGCTTTCTTCAGCCCTGTCAAAACTCAGTACAACTCTTTCTCTAAAGGAAAGCTGAGAATCTGGATGTATGAACAGCACTTGCCAGGGAAAGCCTTTGACTCGCCCTGAGTGAGTCAGCAAGAGGAATTTTCAAGCCTTGGACTCCTTCCCAGCTCTGACCAGGGTACTCTTAATTTCTGCTCTGCTGTACAGTTTTTGCCACCTCACTCAATCTTTCCACTGACTGCTCTGTAGCTGCCTAGAGGCTAAAGCCTCTGTGGTGGTGAGGAATTCAGGGATTTTCTTGTTTGTGGCTAAAAATTCCCCAGAGGGCCTTGTTCTTTTGGTAACAGATGTCACTCTCCAGGGCTCAACCACTCTGAAGGAAGTATGATCAGAGGCACAAAACTGAGTGACTGAGTGCATTGGGACCTGTCTGTCCTCATAATCTACCTGCGTTGTCTGTACTCAATGGGGTCCTTTTCTTCTACTTGCTATTATTCTACTTTCTATTCTTCTACTATTCTTCTGCTTTCTATTTTTCTACTTACAATTCTCCACTGAGCCAGGGGTGGATCCTTCCTTCTATGCATGCCCAAGCGTTGATGATTTTTGTGCAACTGAAGACAAATACAGTCATATCCCAAATCCTGCCACTGCCCTTTCTGCACTAGGCTTCCTCCTATTCCTTTTACCTGCAAAAGTTCTTGCTGGAAGCCTGTCTGTGCCCAGAGCCTGTGACTTCAGGTGCTAGAAAGTAAACTATCTGCCTCACAGTTTAGTTCCAGGTACAACATCCACACTACAATTTCTCACATAACAGCCCATCTTTGCAGACTTTATTACCTTTGCAGACCTCCCCTCCAGTAAGATCCATCTGTTCCCTGTATCCATGACCATTCACAAACACCAAGCACATGGCCAACAGTGAGATCATCAGGTGGTCTGCCAACTGGGAAGCAATTTTGCATTTTAGTCCCACTCGGGCTTGACGAAATCAATCAGTTAGTCTAAGTCAAAAGTTCATTTAGGCTCCTGCTGTCTACATCAATGGTGCACACTAGAATTTGCAATATCTACACGAATGATCTCATATAAAAATAACAAGGTACATGTTTAGGTAGCTTCTGTATTTTTCTGAAACTGCAGCTTCTCTTGACAACAAACCATTAAGACTTCTGACCCGCCCTTCAAGACAAAACAGTGAAGGGATCAGCAGAGCCTAACCACCATACCTATCTTCTTTAGGCTAGGTGGCCTAACCCCTCTCTGCAGTAAGATCTTGCACAAATAGGGGAAATATTTGCTTCTTTTTAAATGGCACATGCTGCTCAGCAGATCTGAGGTGAAATCTGCTGGGGACAATGACAGCAGCAATAAAAGCTATGCATAATCTGTGCAGTGTTGGGTCAGCATAGACTAGGATGTGGCTGGGCAGCCTGAAGCAATGAATCTCAGACCAGAGCTTAAAGCTGCTCTCTAGTAACAGAAGTCTAGGATCTGCCAGGCCACTAAAGAAAGAAGCTCTCCTATCTTTGACCCAACTCATTCATTCCGAGTAAAAGTTAACTGATCTGGTTGCAGAGTGGTTGACTCAGCAAGAGAGACTGCAGTGATGGCAAGTGAGACCCAAAAGGATAGACATTTGTATGAAAATACTGGCTTGTGGATTATAAAAAAATGCACCACTGACTAATTTCATGGGTGCATTCTTTAGCTCCAGAGGATGAGACTCAGAGAATCTCCCATAAGCCAAAGATCACCAACAGCCAAGATGCAGGAGATTTCCTGTAGTTAAAAGAGGACTGTTTAAACAGACTGGCATCTACATCATTCTGTGGTGATCTCACTGCTACCACCTTCTTCTCTTGCCTCACCACCACCTCCTCACAGCATCGCTTTCTGTCTGCCTCTGGCCAGGAGCTGCATTACTGCCACTTGCAGTGGTGTAAGTTATCTCTCCTGCTGCTGCCCCAGTGCACTTGAATAGGTTATACTTCTTGCTGCACCTCATCTTTAGCAGGGAGGAGACTCACTTGTGAGCTTCAGCTTCTAAGCTGTCCCCATAAGAACAGTGGTAGAAGAGAATACAACAGTCCGAGAACAATTCCTGGGTCCTGCGGAGAACTGGCACAGTACAGTTTCCATCCTCACAGCTGCACTCTTTGACCTCAAAAACAAGGTGGTCACATCCAAAGTGCCCCAAGGTGCCTCCCGTGGGCTAACTCCTAAACCCTGAGAAATGCTAGTCCATGCAAGTCCGCGTGGGTCAAAGCTGTGCCCAGGAGCACGCTACCGATTCAGCAATACTCAGACCTGCACCATGGCCCCGTCTCACTAGTAGAGATGTAGTCAGTCTGCTGCAGAGACAAATGGTAGAGACATGTTCACAGCTGAAACCTTCTAAGTTTCAGGGTCAGAACAACAAGTTTTGGCAGCCACTTAGCAGCTGCTGGATTACCCCAATACTAGTGTTTGTTAGCTGGCACTGAACAGATCAGGGTCAAAAACAGCACTGTGCGATGCTATCGGCTACCACGCTGAGAAGACGCCATTAACTACACCAGAGTTACACCAGAAGAAATGAGAAGACACTAAAGACTGAAGCCTTCAAAAAGAAAGATACACAAAATGGGATATTTTAAGAACATATTTTCTTAGATTCTTGGAGAGTTTATTTTAGCGAGGCAGGAGATCACCTCTTTCCGATTAAAACTGTTGACAACAAGTGCCACCCACTGCAGCTGTAAAATTTTAATTGTGACAATGTTTACAGCAGTTGAGATACAACTTCAGAATGACAGCTCTGCTGCAGTGGAAGGATGATCAGAAAAGTGAGCAGCTCCTGTTTAACAACAGTTAACAAACATCCTTCCCTTATTTCATCTGTGTGAAAAGAAACATCCCACAGTTCACTTATCTGATCCTAATGTCACCTCAGAGTAAAGTTCATGTCAGACAAAGACTAATCACGGAATAATAAGTATATACTTACCAACCATATCCATTAGTAAATTAAATTACTGTGATTTTTGGCAGCAAGAGAGAGCTAGGTTAGACATTAAAAATCATGTTGAACTGTAAGGATAGCAAAACAATAGATTCACTTGCCTGGGGAGGCTGTGGAGGCTGTACCACATGAGATTTTTAGGGCTTTTTAGAAACAGACCTGTCAGCAATGTACCTGGTAATTTGGTTTGGTTTGGGAGTAGGGGCAGAGTAGAACAGGATGACTGCTCAAGATCTCTGCCAGCCCTGCTTTCTAAGATCCCTACAGAAATCAGCACTGAACAGTGTATAACTTTTTAACAGCTGTTTCACTGACACAAAGCCCAATTAAACGACCCTTCAGTGAGGTCACAAATTTTCAGTTATGATTAAATCCAGTCTAAAGAGGTATATCACTGGAAAAAAATTGGAGTTTTATGGGAACTTGGGGGGTTTATTTCACATTATTTATTTAGGTAAGTAAATCCCACTGAAGGCAGGCCACCACGCGTTTTAGGTAGAATCAACTGACCTGGCTTCATATCTGCAACAAAATAAGGTATCTTACTGCAACTCTAACCTGCAAAGAGAGAGCTAGTGATACATTTTTCCTGTGGATCAATGAGTCAATTGTTGGTTTTCAGATAAGACATAAATCTAGCCAGGGTGGTAAGTCTACAGTGGTGCTTAGACTTCATGTAACCGGACAGCAGTTTGCAGGCGGGCGGTTCAGAGGGCAGCCAGCACCCATGCCCATGGGGCGAGGCTCACTTTCAGCACCCTGGACAAGATCCAGGTGCCCTGGGGGGTCCAATGGGAGCAGACCCCATGGGTCGGGCGCTCCTGATCCCCCTCTTACTGCTGACTAATGGAGCTGTGATGCCACCGGGTAGGGGAAGACCCAGGATCCTTCTACCAAAACAAAATCTGACTTTTCAGATTTCAGAGCACAACTCGGTAGGACACACCAAGACTAGACCTGCCAGTGCAAGAGCTAATAGAGATGTGAATCATTTGCAGATGATATAATTACCTGGGGTCTCCACCCGCCGGTAATGGTAGGGGTTAATGCACACTTCTTTCTGTTTTGAGCCAAACGGGAACTCACAACATTCCAGTGGTTTCAACTCATGGTGAGATTGTAAATCAGGCCAGCGCCACACTCTGCAGTATATGACGTGGGGAAGCCCCTTGCGGTGAGACACCTGCAGCCGCCCATCCAAGGATCGTGGGATCGTGACACATTTACTGGGCTGACCCGGACAGCTCAGAGCCCTTTCCAGTTCTTCCATGGCACCTTTTTTCTTCTTTAACTTCTTCACCAAGGAATCAACGGCTTTTTCTGCCCACTTTTCCTCTTCATCTCCTTGTTTCCAGCCCAGCAGCCTTTTCACTGCAGGACTGGTGAAGGAGAACAAGGAACTGATAGGGGTGCTGGAGTGCATAAGAAGCAGAGGTTACACACGAACGTCAACAGAAGCACAAATTGCTCTCCTGCCTTGCAAGGCTTGCACGGTGTTTCAATATTGAGATGGATGCTTCCTTCAACAAAAGGTTCTTCCACACATATGTTTTTGTAGTCTTAGGCACTGGTTACAAGTAGTCCAACAGGGTGGGCCTCAGGACTTTCCAAACATCAAGAAACTGCTGCTGAAGCCTGGAATAACAACACAAAACTTAGTTAGGCTTCACACACTCCTTTCATTGTTCCTTCAATAAAATCTTTTCAAAGAGAAATTATTAAAAATGTGCATTTAATTTTCAATTGTTTTCTGTTTGGTTTCTGCTGTTTATTTTGGGTCCAAGCCTCTTCTCCCCACTACCCTTCACATTCATTTTAGAGTTGGACCTCAGAAAGCATTAAGTGTCCAGTCACTTCAATTTCGGTTTAGAATTTAATGAACTAGGCAAATTGTTGCAGGGTTGGGATTATATTTACTACAAAGGAAAATGCACCTTTTTTTTTGTGGTGATAGCTGTAGGTTTAGCTCAAGTATCTTGTATGAAATTAAATCCATAATATCAAATTTTATGGAAGTAATGAGTAGAATATTTCTCTGATTTCAACTCCCTCTCTGCCACTCCAATCTCATTCTACTGTCAAGAGTTGTACAGTACTAACTGCAAAATTAATTTAGAATTCAGCTACTCCCAGACTTCCGTTAATGACTTTGAAAGATATATCACCGTTCTCTAAGCTTATTTACATTTTCTGACATGCAAGAGAAATACCTTGTTTGCCTAGCCAGTCTGTTTTGCTCTCTCTAAAATTCAGTTTTTTGGATGAAAATTACACTTTTGGACACGGTTCGTGCCAGATGGATCCTGCGTTACTTCTGCTAGGAGCTGCTACATCTGACAAAGTCCAACAGAAATTTAGTTCTTGTGGGGTTTTCTTTTTTTATTTTTTAATGTAGCTGGAGCCAGTCTAATTTTAGCTAAAAATGACGTATTTCCACTGACTGGAATCCTGAGGAAAAATATCCTTATGTGTCAAGCTCTTTATTGTTTTAACTATACTTCATGGACCCCCTGTACATACCAAGCCCAAAAGTCTGAACTATACAGATGGCACATAAAGCAGAAGGTGGGGGCAGCTTTTAAATGGATGCCTCCAGAGAAGCAGCTTGATGACTGCCTTACTCCACCCTTGTTGGAGGACTTGGGTCCTTCTTGCCCTCCACCAGTAAAAGCCTGGACATAGTCCTCAGCACCACTTATATACTGCCACTGAGACAGATGTTGCCTGCTGTTGGGAGCAGCAAGGCTTAACAGACCATATTATTCTGCAGTTTCCTTAAATGCACAGCTCTTGTAAGAGTTCAAAGGGCACCTGGGGACACTGAGTGCAGGCACAGGCACAACATATTGAGACAGGAGGCCAATCCAAAAGACTGGTTCCTTGGCATAGTCTGATACCCTCAGCGCCACACAGCTCTGGAGCATGCAACAGGGTAAGCACACATGGTCCACGGCATCAGAGCCACCTAGACAACACGCAATGTTTTCTGAGGACCAGTGACCACTTAGAGCTGTTTTCCTCCTAGCCCTTCTGTTTTGTTCTCATGCCTATTCCTCTGCCCCACGGTGTTACCTTTTAAGATGCCCAGCACCCTGAGAAGTGCAGATACATGTAAACATAAGGCACTTTTTCCCTTCTTCCATGAGAGCAGCAATGATGAGGGCAGGGGCTCAAATTGCCAAAACACATTCCACAAAGCCAGGGAGATGGAAGCACTTGATCCCACAGAAGAGAAAGCATAAAAATGACATTTTGGCATGTCACAAGCCCCAGCAGCAGCTCCCGTTACCCCAAGAGATTCATATTCTAAGCACCAGTGAACAGGAGGCTGCATGAAAATATGTATGGAGGCGCTACAAAACTGGAAGGAAGAGCAGGCACACCTTGCTTCAGGCACCCATCACAGCACTGAGCTCTGGCTTATGCAATGTGTACATTATCAACCTATGTGTATGTCCAATTGTCCTCAACTGTCAAGAGAGGGTCTTGGCAAGAGCACGGCAAAAATCTCCTTACTTGCGCCATTCGACAATCAGTGATTGATTTCACAGAGCTGCTCAAGCTTGTCCCAACCTGCAAAGAGAAACTTCAGATTCCAGATTTTTTCCCCACTCTGTATTAGTAAAAACTGAATGACCTTGAACACTTAACTGGATAGTTACGAATGCCTCTTAGTCAAAACCGAAGTCTATTCCAAACACTTAGAGGGTATGTGTGAGAATGAAGTTCAGAATGATTTATCACAGGAAAAAACCCTCAAGCTGCTTGTAAAACTTAATGTGGATAAAATTTAGGCAGACAATCTCCAGTCTTTGTGGGACCAGGCTCAAGACTACAGAGCCCAGCACCAGCCCCATCTAGGCATCCCATGCAGTGGAAGTGTCTGTCCCTTGATGTCCCAGTGAGAACCTGTGGAGGATCTGCCATGGCACTACAGTCATTGTCTGGTGGCACCAAAGCCCATCCTCACAGGACAAAATGAAACAATGTCAGGATCTCTGTGGATCAGCCCTGAAAGCAGCAACAGGAAGCAAGGAGAGCCTGGGATGAAAGCCCACAGGACCAGTAGTGGTGTAAAAGTCTCTACTCCAGGCTGAGAGGGAAAATGGCTCACACTTCTTATCTGAGGGGGTCTCCTGGGTGTTAGCATGTGTAAACAACTGCTCCTGATAAGTTAATGCAACATTACAATCATCAGATACGAAAACATACATGTTCACATAAAAGTATTGTCCTGAGATTTTCTTTTCCATTTAGACCAAGGTTTTAAATAAACACATTAATCTCGTTCAGTCAAATTAAATAGCTCAACAGTGACATCAGTATGAGTCTGAGCACTATTGTTGCTAGTGGGAGAGTCGCCAAGACTATGTGTATAAAAGCAAAAGCCGTGCTTTGCAGACCATGTGATGTAGTCTCAGATAAGTACATTGCACATTTCCTACCACGTTCCCCCCAGTTTCTTCTAAAATATTTTTTTCCCCAAATTCAACTAATATACAGAATACAAATGGTATTAAATAAACTAAGCAGCTTTCAAATAATATTATCAAAACATCCTAGTTTAATGTTATTAAATTCCATAATACTGCACACTATTCAGCAGAATAAGCCCTCTGTTGCTAGGCTAAGATAGTCCATTATGAAATACCTAGGCAGCCATTCTCCTCCACGGCTGTAATGATAGAGATGTCGATTCACAAGTTAACAATCTTTCAGGACAGCAGTTGCTTAAGCTGTATGCCTTTTGTAACAGGCAGCTTGCCTACCCAACTGGAAACTTCCAACATTGAAACATTTCAAAACCGTGTTTGATGTATTTTCTGTGCTGATGATCCATCATGTTTCTTGACGCTCCTCACTTTAGAGTAGTAGCGGGGAAGGAAGTGCTAGAGTTCTGATCCATATCCACAGCACACGTATCAAGCCCTGTGCCATACCGTGATGGAAGTTCTGGTCTGGTCACCTCTGTCTCACTCGGTGACAGTATGATGTGCTATCGTGAGTGTAAGTCAAGCATCATTCAGAGTACATCCCTAACATGATTGCCTCCTCTGGGACTATAAGGAAAGCTTTGTCTATCTGTCAGGTAAGTAACTGGTCAACACCAAACACAGTCAATCTTCCATGCTGTAAATCTTTATTCCATCACTGAGTTTAGCCTGAAGTTTGCTTTAGGGAAGAGGCAGAAGAGGTATGGAATGTGAGCATGAACCCACCCTTTCGTTTCTGTGGTCTGCAGGGGAAGGTGAGACTGGAAATGCTTCAGCTTAGTCTCCCTAAACATAAGGTGTCTGCCTTAGCTATGGCTACATTACTGCTGGGGAACATCTCTGGGTATGGTAACTTGATTTTCTACAGCATAAATTATTACCACAGTATCTGGAATGGCTTTGGTCTGTGCCAGTAGCACTCTCCCAAATAACTTTTGTGTTTAGTTCAGGAGTTAGCAGGGACATGGGATAACTCCTAATAAGAAGTCTGCATAGAGCCACCTTGTTTTGGAGGGCAAGACACCTATTGTATGGAAGTGAGCCTCTCCATCCTAGCTGGCCTCAAGACCAAGAACAGTACTAGGCATGTTTAATTTATTAGTATGGAAGCAGCCTGTCAGTAAAATTCACTTGGCCACATAAACACGTCCAAATTGTTGACACTCATATCTGACCTAGTCACATACAAGTCCCTAAATACCTACTTGAGAAAAACAGGTGTGTACATGGCATGGACCATTCCATCTCAAAGTAAACAACTAGAAAAAAATAGCAAAATCAAGCACTGCATACAGCTCATGCTGAGTGAGATGAGTCTCACCTCAAGTCTGAATGACTGCCAGGCTATGACCCAGCAACATGGACACAAAGTGAAAGGGACTAGGATACCTTCTCCTACTCCTAAGTCCATATTTCACCCTTCAGTGTAGAATTAGCCTGCAGGTCCTCATGTCAACAGGAGAAATATGTTTCTCCAGGAACTTCACTTCAGTAATTTCCATCGTGCTACTAAAGAGCCTGACACACCGAGAGCAGAGAAAAGCAGATGGAACACCACTGCTGTGGGCTTACTATTTCCTAACTGGGGCCAGGTCCTGCTGAAGTCAGTAAGAGGGTTTCCAAAGCTCATAGAAATTAAACATGCCCTCCTCTGTGTCTCATGTGGCAGCATGCGGATGCCTCCACTATGGAAAGATTTTGGGAAATTTAGATTTCATTTGATGTACAAAGGATCCACTGTGTCAGGGAAGACTTGCATCATCCATCAGCAGAATGTCTGTGCAGGCCAACAGGCCGATGAAGTTCCCTCTAATTCAGTTCCCATGAGCATGGCAGTGAAATTGTACCAGTCCTAGTTACAATTCACTCTAAGGTTTATGCAGAAGTCAAAAAGGAAGACTGCATGGATGATACTGAAAACAGGCTTAAAACACAACTGGGTAAAAACACAGTGTCCATCGTCCCTCAAAAGTGTATGTGTGCGTATGTGTGTAAGCACAGGTGTATGCAGATGTGTGTGTGCATCTCATCTCAGAATAAACCTCCAAGATGCTGCCTCCCTCGCCGTGCCTGCCTTGGCTAACTGAGCTGTGAGAGGAGTGACTATCAGTCTCGAAAATGGCTGACATCATCAGTCTT